TGGCAAAAAGCAAAAACACTTTAAATATTCTGGCCACCAACAAGATGATAGTTGAAAAACGCCACCAGGGTTTTAACAACAAGTTATTCCTTCGTTCTGGTTGATTATGAAATTTAAAGCCAACGTGTTTAACAAGTTATTTCAAGCAACTTGAACTGGACGTGAGAAGTTATTAAACACTTTGTTTTTCAGTTTTATAGGCTTAATAAGATATATATTTTAGTAGGTCAAAAGCTTTTGTATTCTTTAGCAACCCCATTATTTGATTTTTGCGTGACTTAACCATGTAGTCAAAGTAACATCTTTAAAAAATGCAGTTGATTAGCTAACGAATACAAATCTCTGAAAATAAGTCAAGAGACCGAATTAATCACGATTCGAAATGCATAGTTGACAAGAGGCTTAGCATTAAAATTTTCACAGCCCATATTCTTAGCATTCGTTGATTATCGACACATTGCGTTCTGTAAGTGTAAGAAGCCCTCCCTTCCGCCCCCTGTAGCACAGCGGAATGTCTGCGGACTTACAACGCTAGAATCCGGGTTTTGATATCCGTGGTGGGCAGAGCACAGATAGCCCATTGTTTAGCTTTGTGCTTAATAACAAACAAACATACTGAACAAATGCACTACTCAGATGTGGTACAAGTATTTTTTTAATATTTCCAAAATGAGTTACAATCAAAAGCACTCAAATAAATCACTCTACCTTCATTTGAAATTTTCAGAGATTTTATTTTTATTTTGTAAAGTAATTTAAAAAAATAAAAACAGACAGTTCTGTTGTATGCCATCTTTTTTGTTTTATTCTTTCAATATCAATTGTATCCTGCATTCTTCAGAATATTATTTACCACGTCATATGGCAGGTAAACTACACGATAAGTAAACACCGGTTCTCTTTTTCTATTTTCTGTGTTTTGCTTTTGGATATTCTGGTAAGTTGCGGCCTCGTGAGCTTCTCCAGATAGCGTTGAAGGCGAATCTCTCGGATTTACCAATTGTAACAAAGACTGTAGGTCTGAAATGCTTACCTGAGTCGTTCTTGTTGATGTATCACGTGAGTCAGGTGCTACAATTTCAATGATTTGGGAAGCAAAATCATGCTTATCGTAACTGTTATCTTCTTGTGATTGAATCTTAGGTTTAGGTTCAGTAAAACCATAAGATCCTCTTGAGGAAGTAGGGAAGAGATTAGTTTTGTCAGTTGGAAGATCAGGTCTTTCTGGAGAGGAGGCTTTTCCAATTTTGTTGAAAGTTCTTAACTGTCCATTTTGATTGAAATGCGTCGGACCCCTGACGGTGGAAGTCGGAAATTGCGTTGCAGCTCTCTGATAAGGAGATGGTGCCTGAGATTTTTCTGAAGAAAGCTTTTCGTCTATAAACTTAGGTGGAGATTTATTGCTTTTTGTACTTAAAATTGTTTTTATTTGCTGCTTCTGGCTGCTATAATTTGGTTTATTTTCGGACTGCTTCGAAGACGATCGATCGTATTCTGAAGGCGCAGAGTCAAATGTTTTCGATCTCGAGTTATTGCTGGGAATTGGAAGAAGGAATACTGACGAAGGTTCCCGTATGAAAGCTAATTCGTTGAATGGTCTATTTAAAGGCTTAGGTCTACCATTATTGTTCAAAGTTGTTCTTAGTTGCTGATTGAACTTAAGTTTTTGATTCGGAACATTATCCTGATCACCATCTGATAATTCTATTGACTCTTTTTTGTCATAAGTTCTTGTTGATCCTCTACCTACGTCACCAGTAGAGGGCGCTATATTTTTGGTATTATAGTTTTCGAAAGAGGTAAAGGAATACCGAGGAATGGTAATTTCTTTTGAAATAAACCTACCGACGCGATCAGAAGTTGTGGTGTCAATGTTGACTGGAGTCTGATGATCAGGTGTAAAGGCAGAGTTTCCAAATGCAGGGTATGTTTTGATATCTCTGTGGATATTGACGTGTTGTTTGGTGAATATCGATGGATTGTGTTGTTGTCCATGGGCAGGAAGAAGGATTTCCAGAAATATAAGGACAATCATCAAGTCCTAAATGAATAAAAAGTTACGAATTAATTATCAGGACCTTCAAAGAGAAAATTTATAGCACATTTTATCACAAACACACACACACACACACGCGTAAAGCTGAATAACGGATTATCTTTGCTGTGTCCACCGCAGGGACTTAATCTCGAATTTTAGTGTTGCAATCCTCCAAGATTACCGATGAACTACTGGTGAGACATATAACACCTACAAGGTGTTATGTCCCTTATGAAACCCGCTCATGATTGAATTCCTAAAACCGATTTTATTATTCTCAACTCTCTAAACTATAAAACGTCTTTCACCCCTTTTGTTTTATTTTGCGCATTAAATCGTTTCCACTTTGTCCGATAACTTTATGAATGCTAAATATAGGCTTAACTGCAACAAGAAATACAAAAAAGAATGCGAAATTCAGAGGTTTCCAAAGTAGCATCATAATTAATAAATATATTTCGAATGTTCAATTTTTTTTTAATTTTTTGTTTAAGGACAGAATTATCAATTAAAGCATTAGATATGTCAAACAAAGATACAAAACATTCTGAACAAACAATGAATGTTCTTTTTACCTAAAACTACCATGAACTGGTAACATTTCAACAAAATTTGAAAAACAATTGAAAATGGACATTAATAAATGTTTTCCTGCAGTGAACCTCTACTGTGCTTATTCCACTCATAAGTTGTTGCCTGCAACACACAAAGATGTGATACCTACCACACAGAAAAGGATGGTTATTTATGAATTCTCGTGCCACTGCGAATGTCCGTACGTAGGTCGCACTTCACAAAGATTGCAGGATAGAATTAAACAACATGTACACACATCCATAAGAAATAACAGTGTGAAAGAAAATAATTTACCATGTCGCTCCTGTAAAACAAAAGTTCTACCACCAAAATGTGAATCAGCGATTGACCAGCATTTACTAGTGAACCCAACTTGTGCTGACAACTACATGGATAGCAGGTTTAAAATTATTGCAAATGGTCTGTCAATCTTTCATCTCTATATTTTGGAAGCCATCTTTATTAAAACACATAAACCTGTCCTTTGCCGCCAAAAAAAA